TAATGAAAAAAGGTTTCTTGGACGCTTCAAGCATTTTCTCAACATATATCATAAAAAAATAGCATAAATTGTCGTAAATTTCCCAATTTTTTAGTGAATTTTTTTTTATTTTAGAAATAATTTTGTTTTCAAGTTAGTTCAAATTCTGCCCACCTATAAACCATGCCAATGGATTATGGTTCAGCCGTTTCAAAATGTATTGGATTTGAAAAAACAAACCAACAGTACTAGTCTAGGCTTTCCAGGCTTTAGTTGTACCAGCCCGTTTAGTGTTCCCAGTATGTGGTTGATTGATACTATAAGCTCTCGTAGTGGTAACAAGTGCATTAAAACTTTAAAAAAAGCTCAAATCTTATGTATTACACAACATGGTTTATAAACATACTAGGCAAGGCTTAATTATGGCGCTCTGCGCCCTCTTTTCTAGCATCAGTTTAAGGTTTAATTGTTGCTTTACAATTCGCCATTTTTGATAGTTCTGATAAACAAAAACGCCCTCGGATTTTCATCAATTATAAATAATGAATTTTTTCCCAGGCAAAAGATTCCAGTTAATAAACCTTCTCTGGGATCTTATCAAAAAATTAAGCCTGAACGGTTCAGCCGTTTTGACGTTTATTGTGTACATACACCCTTACATAACAACAGCTTAATATATAGAGGTTTAATATCTTTTTTACAAATGTTCAAACATAAGTAAAAGAACACGAAAGCAGGGACCGAAATAATGAATTTGAGCTACGTGACTGAACCACCTACTGCTGGTTCAAATTTGAACCACCGATTCAGAGTTTAAGATTAGGAAAGGATTTGAATTGGTGATTCAAATTTAACCATGTGGGTTGTATAGTTCTCTATTTCTGTATAAACAAAAACCTTATGAATAAATGAAGTTGAGAGCGGTATAAGATATTAATATTATATAACTACATGAATTATACTATCTTAACTAAAATTGTTTTGATCTACAGTTAAAACCAGAAAATTATGATATATATGAAAGAAGACATTAAACTAATAATTAAGTGTTTTATTGTAAATGTTGTTTCAAAACAAATATTGTTGCTAGGAACCTATCTTAAATCACTTATTCAGTAAAATTACTGTCTAATGTTTATTAGACTATTTAAAGTCAAAACAATTGAGTCTTAAAGGAATTGAGTTTTTGTCACAAACTCTGATTTTCTAATCCCTTTATCTTAGCAACCCGAATTTGTATTCCTTTGATATTTCAAACTATTAATTCTGCGAGTTAAAATGGTCTAGGTATCAATGGTTTACATCGTCAGGTTTCAAAGATATAGGGATTAGAAAATTTGAGTTTGTGGCAAAAACTCAATTCCTTTTTCTTCCTTTTCGAGAGTTTTCTGGTTCTCTCTGTATATCTAACTTTTATAATTATATTAAGTCAACCTTAGAACTTAAAATGTTTAATATATATATAACTATTAGAATTAAAAAATGTTTAATATATATAACTATTAGAATTAAAAAATGAGTGAATATGTTTGCTACTCAAATACAAAAGTTGTCACAGGCATCATAGACAAATAAAAAATATTTATGTTGTTCACAAAACTTTAAAAATACATATGGAACAAAATTTACAATGGAATTGATATAAGAGCTGGGAATTTTTGTGTTAGATACTCATCCCGATTATTTGATCTTGATATCCTAAGTGAGCATTTTGATGTGAGGATCGTTAAAAACTAAACCTTTCCATATCTTTATTTAGTTATCAAAGCTCCCTTCCACCCCTGACTGGGTACGATTAACATGCGGCATATCGAATATAGATTAAATTAATCTGCAGATTTAAAAAAGATCAAAATCAAGCATTGATCTCGATATCCATAATGCAAAAGCTCCAAACTCTGATTTCTAATTCAGTGACAAACAAAAAATTGAAATTATTGGCGTCATAATGGGAAAATTTGGGGACGCCCCCCCCCCCTTGGAAAACTGGGGAAAGGAGTTGAGTTTTTGCCACAAACTCTGATTTTCTAATCTCTATATCTTTGTAACCCAATGTCGTAGACCTTAGATATTTCAAACTATTAGTACGTATAGATAAAATGATCTAAGTTTGAAATATCAAAGGTTTGCGCCATTAGGTTGCAAAGATATTGGGATCAGAAGATTTGAGTTTGTGGCAAAAACTCAATTCCTTTGGGGTGCGACTAGAAAACGGGGACACCTCATATGCCCCTTTATCTTGATATTAAATATTAAAATTTGTTCTAATCAGTCGAAAGAAATTGAGTTATTGTCACAAACTCATATTTTCTAAACCCAATATCTCTGCAACCGGATGGTGTAAAGTTTTGATATTTAAAACTTAGATTATTTGATCTATCAGAATTCATAGTTTGAAATATCTATGGTTCTAAAGTTCTAAAATTTTACTTTTATATGTTTTTGTTCTCCCCCTAGATTAAATCCTGTATACGCCTCTGATTAAATGATTTATTAATTGGCATAATTATAATTTATTATGTGTGATGTTTGCTGAGGAACATGCAATCACTACTTCACAATGTATAGAAAGTACAAAATCTTACATCCCAAGGTTGTTGAAAAAAGACTATTTTTTTGTGAGGGATATACAGTTTTCCCAGAAACATAATAATTCAATTTTAAATAGATTGGAGATAATGTCATTTGGCAATTGTACAACTTTTTTATACTTTTTAGGATATAAAGTAATAAAATTTATATACAGTGATAACTAGAAAAATCTGGAAAAGGAAGTCGACTTTTAAACTCAAGTTATGACTTTTAAAGCGCATTGAACATGAGACACAGCAATTGTGCAATATAAACAGACCCAATTTACTTAATAAGTAATTTTATAACTTTCAAGTAAAGATATGTGCTTTAAACAACATCAGATCGCTATAATGTCGTCTTCCTATTCCACAGTTTTCTGGTTATGACTGTAAAAATCCCCTTTAAGATTATAGGCCCAAAATCTTCTTTAATATTAAGATTATTATTTCCAGAAAATCATACTTATTTCTTCTTAACAATAAAAGCGAAAAAGCTCTCAAAAATAGTTGCATGCTACATTAAATATTTGATATGTTTTTTTATAAATCTAAACAAAAGTATACAGAATTTATTTATTTGTATATTTTCAAATTTTGTTATTAGAAAAAAATCTAGTGTCAAGTCTGTAAAGAACAATATAATGAATTTTGTATAGTTAGTGATGAATCGTTTCCATTTTTTAAAAAAAATTGTTTCGTTTTGAAAACGACAAAGAAAAAACGAAAAACGAAACCATTGTTTTTAAAATCTATCGTTTTTCAATAGATATTGTTTTTTTAAACGGTCGTTTTCAAAAACAATTGTTTTTCGTTTAAAAAACTATCGTATATAAATAGCAAAAAACTATCGTTTTTGAATCTGACCCTTCGTTAACGACCACTAACGATGACCCTGCGCTAACGATCGTTAACGACCTTTTAAAGAGAAAATACATTTTTGGTCGAAAAATCCAAGGTCAGAAAACATTCAGCTTGTTTGTTTCGATAAAAAAACACACACAACATTCATAACCTTATTTTTATAGGATAAAATTGAAATTAATTGTCATACAACTCAGATTCATTACCGAAATTTGTTTGAAAAACAATCATTTTTTAAAAAATGATTGTTTTCAAAAAATTATCGTTTTCAAAAAGGATAGTTTTTCGTTTTTAAAAAATAACAATTGTTTTCAAAAACGCTCGTTTCTCGTTTTTTGAAAGTTCAAAATAAGCTTAGTTCGTTTTCAAAAACGATTGTTATTTTCCAATACCGAAACAATCGTTTAAGGAATAAAAGAAAAACGAAAAAAAATATTTCTTTTTTAATCGTTTATAAAAACGATTGACAAAGTACACTCAAGAAAATTAAGAAATAATATTCTTTTAATATAAACATGGTAAAATAATAATAATAATTTAAAAGGACTGAAAGCTTAATTTCAAGTGACCTTCCATACAAAGATTGCAATGTCTGATTTACAGACGGTACTTTCCCTGATCAAGTATGAATTTGAAGATTGATTTTTTTAAATTGCTCTTTCTCTACTTAACAACTGACAGGAAAACATATTCAGAATTAAACACTCTTAAACCTAGAAAACGACAATATCCTCCAAAGATAAAGGTTTCAAGTGAACTATTGAGAATCGGGCATTGCCGTTTTTGTTACTTGTATGGAAAATGGCTTGGAATTACGCTTACTGTTCCTTGAAGGCCCAATAATGATTGCTTATTTAATGTGTTAAAGATTTAATGAATTCTTAGATTATCGTTAACTGATTTTAATTACTAAATGATAATTAAATCTGCAACAGAAAATAATAAGCTTATATATATTGTGGAAATTTTTGCTTTTGTAAGTAAAATGAAGAATAATATTGATTTCATGCAATCAACGACAGAGATGGACGCGTGCGGCTTTTTTATAAATTGTGTGTTCGTTAATTTTTTTCAATCATTCAAAAAATTTATTTCGTTCGTTCTCAAAGTTATAGTTCATTTTCCATCTATTTCGTTCGTTTTTTCACTGAACGACTGTTCAGTAAAAATATTCGTTTAATACAACTGTTCTGCTAGCAAAACAAAAATTGTGTTTGTGAAAAGCTTGTTTGAAAAATTGATCGTTCAGTAAAAAAATATTGGTTTTTTCATTCCTCTGAACGATCCAAGATGTTCAAACATCGTTATTTTTCTAAACGACACCATCCTTCACGAAAAAGGTTGGTTCCCAACAATTTTGTTCGTCCACAACAACGTTGCCCAACGCTGTTCATTGCAAAACCTGTTTTGCACCTTCGGATCTCTCGATATTCACTGTGCTTTAACTTCAGACATTTAGAGATACTAATTGATTGACTGACTTACTGACTGATAAATTCATTGATTGACTGATTTATTGATGGATGGATGGATAGATTGATTGACTGACTGACTGAAAGAAAGATTGATTGATTGATTGATTTTTAGAAGGATTTGTTCTCGAGTAAAGGGATCAACGATACAGACGTGAAGAGTCAGTCTGAAGTAATACCTCCGGGAGGGACCAGGTACAAAACCTTTTTGTTGGGCTATGTTTCTATTATCCCCCCCCCCCCTCGGTCAAAGAAACTGTAAAACAATCCTTAATTTCCGGGTTTAGAGGATTTCATTGTATCTCAGGGAAATCTAATAAAAAGGAATGAAAAGCAATTTTTCTAGAAGGGTTTGTTTTTGTATAACGTATATTTTATTCTTTTCAGGGTTTTAACGTGATATAACTTTTCAGTTTTTTTCAGGATATTTTTTTAACGTTTTAATAATTTTAGATCTAGTTTTTTAAGGATATTTTTTTAACGTTTTTATAATTTTAGATTTTCTTTATCTCATTTGAAACAACCTTTGCACAGTTTTTATGTACAGAACTTGAATTTAGGGAGAGGAAGTCTTTTTTTTATTAATGGAGCATATTTCTTTTATTTTTAAAATGTATTATTTGAATTTAGTAAACTTAAGTTTTATTATGCAAATTTAAACTTAGAGAAGTAAAGATTAAAGATTGTAAAAATTTTTTAGCTAAAAACTAGAGTAGAGTGAATTTTTGTGTTTGATTGTTTGAAATTAGGGAGCAACAGTTCCCTGATGTTACTTTTGGGAGTGGAGCTTATACTATTTAAATTTATGGAGTGGAACTTAAATTGTTTAAATTTAGGGAGCGGAAGTTATCAACTTCCTCAACAGGAAGTGTGAAGAGCAAATGGGTGAAAGCCTTTAAAACAATAAAAGGCAAAGGCGACGAAAAGTAAGTTTTTTTTGTTTTTTTCAAAATTTAAATTTTTCTAAAATATTGTATATCCATTATCCAATTTTCATGTGTGTATTTTTTTTGATTAAGAATAAGGTCCATGAATATTTGGCAATAATGACTTTTTAATTGATTTTATAAGTACACACATTATTATTGTTTGTTGATTTATTATAAGCTAATCAATTCATATAACCATTTGATTAGATATTTCGAATTTAATGCATTTTTGCTTTCTTAGTCCAAAGTTGGGAAAAATATGTTTTTTAATGTCAATTTAAAATTTCTTTGAACTTTTTGAATGTTAAAATTTTGGTCAAATTGCATGAATCCAAACTTAAAACATATTTTTCCTAATTCCAGCCATTACGTAACCCTAAAGCTTTTATCGGCCAGATCATTAAGTGCCCTAATATGTAGCATGTTTTAATCCACGTTAATATTGTGTTTTAAGGCCTGACAACACAGAGTGTTTTTCTAAAAACTCATGGACCGGGGTTTTTACCCTTATCCGGTTTGTTATATAAATAATTATAATGTATCTTTGTTAGACTTATTTTGGACTGTATTTACACTTATTAGGACTGGATTTACACTTATTAGGACTGGATTTACACTTAATAGGACTGTGTTTACACTTATTAGAACTGGATTTACAATATTAGAACTAGATTTACACTTATTAGGACTGAATTTACACTTATTAGAACTGAACTTACACTTATCAGAACTGGATTTACACTTATTAGGACTGGATTTACACTTATTAGGACTGGATTTAAACTTATTAGGACTGGATTTAAACTTATTAGGACTGGATTTACACTTATTAGGATCAGGACTGGATTTACACATATTAGGACTGGATTTTCTCGAAAGAAGAAAAGAATGTGAGCCTCCTCACTCTGTGGGCAAATTCATGTATACGCCCCTGGCTCATACTCTTTACCTGAAAAACAATGATAAAGATATCGCCATTTTTTATCTTGATAAGTGATAAATTCTGTAGTTTCTTTCTTTAACTATGTTGCATAAAAAAAACGCAACACAAAAAATTCTGATTCTTAATTAGAAAGCCAAAAATATTTCATTCATGTTGCTCATACAATGGTTAACGGTCATACCGTTGTGAATCAGTCATATACCGGTCATAGACCATTTAGATGGAAGGGAAAATACAAACAAGAACAATTGTAACATTTGGAGATTATAAAAGGGCAATCAGAGATCAAAGTAAGAAAAAAAAGGGAAATGACAAGAACATTTGTAACATTTGGAGATTATGAAAAGGGCAATAATGAGCAAAGGAAGAAGAAAAAACGAGGACAGGAAAAGAACAAAAATGAGCATGAATTCTTATCTAACAAAATTGGACAGGAAATCTTCTCTAACAAAATTGGACAGGACATCTTATCTATGAGGATAGGAAAAGAACAAAAATAAGCATGAAAACTTACCTATGATGACAGGAAAAGAACAAAAATGAGCATGAAATCTTATCTAACAAAATTGGACAGGAAATCTTATCTAACAAAATTGGACATGAAATCTTATCTAACAAAATTGGACATGAAATCTTATCTAACAAAATTGGACATGAAATCTTATCCATGAAGACAGGAAAAAAAAACTAAATCATGTACGAGGGTACAGGGTACTAGGGTACAGGGTTCTAGGGTACAAACAAGAAAAGTCACACATAGAAAATGCTTGAAATAAAGAAAAAGTATCATAAATGCTCAAGTCCTAATAAGTATAAGTAAATATTCAGCCAGAAATGTGTTCGAACAATTGGGATAAAGTTGATATTTTAAAAACTGATCTTAAAAATCTAAAAAAATTATTTTAAATTATTTTAAATATCATCTTCATCTTTTGTCAAAGTATCGTTGTAATGTTAAATCTGGATCAAATTTTAAAATGTAGAAAATTCATGATATTGCATGTAAAACAGTTATGATACAGTGGAACCCATTAAACTGTGGAAAAGGAAGACAATTTTAACTTTATCAATTTATTTATTTTTAATTTTTTTTATGAAACAAATTATTTGATACATGTATTTAATGCAGAATGCAAATAATCATTTTTCCAATCTTCTTCTTTCCTGGCTGTCCTGTTTTGCTCATTTCTATATCAGCTCTTGAGTTTCTATATTTATTCCAGTTGTTTTTGATATCGGCCATCTATGCAGGTTTATTGCTGACATTGTTTTAATGAGAACTTCCCTTTGTCAGCTGCATTACATGTATCAGTGTCTTGCAGTAATTTAGAAAGAAATTAAAAGACCTCCTAGCCTTAACTGCATTCGGCTAGGTTCAAGGTGATTTAGATGTACCCCCTAGGAAAGGAACACCCAATGAAACCAATGATCATCTCTCTCAGAAAGTTTTGATTAAGATTCCACAGCAAAGCAGTTTCTGAGTTCCACTATATCTGCTCGTGAAGTAGGATAAGGTTGGAATTTAGGAGGTAGGTGGATGAGGATGGGGTGTAAGGGTAACAGGTATGAGAAATACCATAGTCCTCACTTTTAACGTGTATTCCCACGTGGACAGATTTTTTAAAGAAAAATAACCCGCTAAGCATGCTGTCCCATCGCTTTAAAACACGGGGAATGTGTCTTTTGCCTATCATTGTCAGAGGTCTGCCATGAGTAATCCAGTTTCCACTGTGAGGAGGGTGAAAAACCAGTTTATGGTATTTGATTTAAAGTTTATTGAAGGCTCTGTTCCCCCTTAAAACCTGCACCAGCGTGTACTTCATCCCTGATGTTTTGAGTTTCTGTATTCCTTCTGTATTCATCTTTATTACTAAATCTTGTTCGGGATTAGTCACGCTTTCCACTCAGTTGTGGAGAGAAGTGTCCTTGCTATCTAGACTTCTATACAAGTACAACGCACATAGCGCCCTTTCTCTCAACAGGCTTAGAAAGCTCTGCTGACACCCTTCCTCTGGGAGGTTCGGATACACACTGAAAAGGAAGCCAATATATATGCAACTTGTTATAAAGCACGTTGAATTTGTATACGTTTTTATTTTAACTTCTCTTATTGAAGAACTATTGAGAAGAACTGAAAACGTTTTGAATTTATGATATTTGTAACCGAAGAAAGGAATTGAGTTTTTGCCACAAACTCTGAGTTTCTAATCTCTATATCTTTGCAACCCATTGTAGTAGACTTCAGATATTTCAAACTATGAGTTCTGTTAGATCAGATGATGTAAGTTTGAAATATTTAAGGTTTTCACCATCGGATGGAAAAGATATAGGGATTAGAACATTTGAGTTTGTGACAAAGACTCATTTCCTTTGCCTCTCTCATACTGTGCTACTAGAGGAGAAACAAGGTCACAAAGGCGTACAAGTACCAGACTAAATTTGACCTTCTCCACCTGGCATAGTTTGCAGTTTTACTTTAGCAGTAGTTTGCATCGTGAAATGAAGTGCACAATGACTTTGTCTCATGTTTATTGGACTATTCCTATTCCACTGTTTTATGGGTCTTACTGTACCAGTAAATTTTAAATTTTAGATTTAATATCAGCATGTTTTGCTATCTAATCATTCTGACGGGATAAACGTTTATTTAATTTATGCTAGTTTAAAATATTTAAATTTTAGATGTTTTAAAACTAGCAACTCAAGAACTGCTCTAACTGTAAAAAGACAAAAATTTCATTAAATTGTTATGAAAAATATTTAAAAACTTGTATTGACATAAATTTAAATATTTTAATATAGTGAAATAGTTAAAACTGGCAATCTTCCAAACATAAATATCAAAATATCATCTTATGGTTTTTCTTCCATCTACATTCTACAAGAAGATAATTAATTTTCCAATTAATGTTGAAGAACATTGTATTCGAAATGTTTTTTGAAATTACGTAAAGAGTATTTATCCCTCACATTCTATTTTTGAGTATCAGCCACAAACTCATATTTACTAATCCCTATATCTTTGCAACATGATTTTGTAAACCTTTGATTTCTCAAAAGAATTATTTTTTCAATATCTTAGGTCTGCACGACATTGTGTATAGCAAAGATATGGGGATTCGAAAATCAGAGTTTGCTTCAAATACTCAATTTTTTCTAACAAATTTAATGTTTTAAAATGCTATCGATAAATAGATATTACTCGCCAACTGTTTTATTTCCTAAAAGTGTAACATGTAGTATAAAAAAGCAATTTATATAAATTAAGATAATTAGATTTAATTAGTAAAAAATTTAGAATAAACATTTACAACTAGGGTTTCTGCTACAATTCAAAATTCGTTTTATTTACTATTTCTGCGCAAATTATGGCGCCCGACCATCATCAACAAATTTGTGTAACATTTTTTTTCTGCAAAATTGTGCAAAAGTTGGGCTATATTTACTTTTGCGGAATTCCGCGGAAAGGTTTGCGCAATCTCTCTCGAGCAAATTTACGTTGTAAAATTGAAACCCGAATTTACACATTGCGCAAGTAAGCTATAAAATGTAGTATAGTTCTGACCATAACTAAGACTAGCTGAGTCTTTTGTCTTTGATTTTAAAAAAATATGAAAATTAATTTAAAAATATTGTATATACAGAAGCAAGAACAGTGTACCGCCTGGAGGGGGTGGAGGAGGAGGGGTGATAGTGGAGAACTCACATATATTCCAGGTTAGCATGGAGTAAATAAACATGGAGAAGAAATCATCTCGCGGAGTAGATAAAAAGGGATAGAAAATAAGTTCGCTGAGTAGATGCACAAAGAGAGGAAAAAGAGTGACAAGGTTTGTTTGATTCACGGAGTAGATACATATGGAGAAGAAATGGAGCTGTCAGGTTAGCTTAGTTCACGGTGTAGATAGACATGGAGAGAAAATGGAGCTGCCAGGTTAGCTTAGTGCACGGTGTAGATAGACATGGAGAAGAAATGGAGCTGCCAGGTTAGCTTAGTTCACGGTGTAGATAGACATGGAGAAGAGATAGAGCCGCTAGGTTTGTTTAGGGCATGGAGTAGATAGATATGGAGAAGAAATAGAGCCGCTAGGTTTGTTTAGTGCACGGAGTAGATAGATATGGAGAGGAGATAGAGCCTCTAGGTTTGTTTAGTGCACGGAGTAGGTAGATATGGAGAACAGATAGACCCGCTAGGTTAGTTTAGTGCACGGAGTAGATAGATATGGAGAGGTGATAGAGCCGCTAGGTTAGTTTAGTGCACGGAGTAGATAGATATGGAGAGGAGATAGAGCCGTAAGGTCAGTTAAGTGCATGGGGTAGATAGATATGGAGAGGAGATAGAGCCGCTAGGTTATTTTAGTGCTCGGAGTAGATAGATATGGAGAGGAGATAGAGCCGTAAGGTCAGTTAAGTGCATGGGGTAGATAGATATGGAGAGGAGATAGAGCCGGTCGGTTAGTTTAGTGCACTGAGTAGAAAGACATGGAGAGGAGATAGAGCCGTAAGGTCAGTTTAGTGCATGGAGTAGATAGATATGGAGAGTAGATAGAGCCGCTAGGTTAGTTTAGTGCACGGAGTAGATAGATATGGAGAGGAGATAGAGCCGCTAGGTTTGTTTAGTGCACAGAAAAAATATGCATATAGACGTAATAAAGCCGTGTAAGGTCAGATTAGTACACGGAGTAGATAGAGTAAGAGGAGTAGAGGAAATCCAACCAGGAGGGGGGGGG